AGTGAGCAGAGGCCGGGGGCTAGAGTGAGGAATGGCCGGAGGGCTAGAGTGAGCAGAGGCGGTGGGCGGATTCGACGAAGGAGCGTCCCGAGGGCTTACAGCAACCACATGTGACTAGCCCGGGCTGGAATCTGCTTCGTCTACGGTGAAAGCCGATCCGGTAAGAGAAAGGAAAAATTGAAATCACATCATATGACCCCTTTAAGTAGAGCCACTTGCAAAGAGAATCTATGTGACCGCATGGCTTGCACTTGATCAGAATTTCTTTAGTGCAGTGTGCAGTTTCAAAAATAACCCCAAAGTGAAAAATCGAGTAGTGTGTGGAGAAGCGAGTTTAGACAAAGTCCTTCACATGAAAGCTGCAAGCCCCAGTGACAGAGACAGAGCTAAGCAGGCTTGTCAAGGAAAGGTGGCACGGAGCCCTTACCGTGAAGGAATAACTCGGCTGTTCTTCATGGTCCACGGGCCTCAGTAGTGTCAGGTAGCGTGCGATCCCACTGGGCGTCACTGCAAAGATGCTGTTGTAGTTGTCCAGAGAGATGCGCACCATGGGATCTTTCGTCTGCAGTGCAAATAAATCACCGCAGGTTCCCGTGTCAGAAGGCAGAGACATCAGAAGATAGAGCATGCTGGGAATATGACTATACAAATTGCTAAGGATGGGGGAAAACACTCATAAAACCCAGTGCATTAGAGAAACACACTGTATAAGGGAGAACTCCAGTCAAAAGAGAGATAAACAACCCAAAACCTTCTAAAAGAAATTTCAAAAGCACCAACGTCTGAAGTTTAAAACACTGATATCTGAAATATCAAAGTAAATTAATAAGGAACATAAATATCTAAAGAGATTATACAAGAGCAACAGCATTACTGCTCTGTAACTTTCATGCTTATGAAATCTGCAAAAATAATGCATTTGAGATGTTAAGTGTTGTATCAGCACTGAGGTAAAACACAATATGATCATGTAAAGTTTGGAATAATACATATTTTTCTAATGTTTTTGAAAGCCTCTTATGCTCACCAAAGCTGCAGTTATTATGAACAAAAACACAGTAAAACAGTAATATTGTGAAATAGTATTACACTTTAAAAGAACTGTTTTCTATTTGAATATATTTGAAATGTAATTTATTCCTGTGATGCAAAGCTGGATTTTCAGCATCATTGCTCGAGTCTTTAGTGTCACATGATCTTTCAGGTGTCTTTAATGTTGTTGTTGTTGTTTTAGGATGCAGTCACTTTTTTGATGGAAAATGAATACATTTTCAAATAGTTACTTTTGATTGTAATAATATTTCACAATATACAGTTTTTCCATAAAAAAAAAAGTGCTAAAAATACGAGACTTTTTTGAAAAAAATAACAAATAAAATAAAATAAAATAAATAATACAAATACACAAGCTGCCTATTTGCTGAATAATGAATGCACTGCGAAAAAAATGCAGTAAAAATAAATGTAAAAATTAAAGACTTTTAAATCAGCCATTATGCCCTTGCAGTACATACATTTTTCATGCCACACTGTGCATTATGCGGATGCAGACACTGCTGCTGACCTCTTGAAAAGTGCACAGCACATATATTTCTGTGTGAGTATTAATTGCAAAATGTTTTCAATGCATTTCCTTATTTAATGAAACACAAATAATATCTAGCAAATATATTTCATTAATGTTACAGCAGTACTTCTCATTAATCTTAGCAGTTTAATTTTGTAAAACATCCCATTTTAATTGAATTTAAAAAGATATTAGTGATTTCACCATTATTTAATGGTAAGCACAATAAACTGTCATCTAAGGAAAATATACTTGCATTTGTATTACTTTACATTTACATTAATTTATGTGACAAGGCTTATGCAATGCAATATTTAAATTTTTTTTTTGTAATTTTTACAGAAAAAAAAACATGCTATAATAAAAATGCTACAGTAAAAACATGTTAATAAGTTACCTTACCATAAATAGTCAAAAGAGCTGTAAGTGGTTTAATTAACATCACTTTACATGTAATTTTATAGTAAAAAATAATGTCAAATGTATGGTTTTTGATGCTATCATCCTGACCAGTTCATTAACAGTGTAAAAGTTTGATGTAGGACTATCTGATAATATAAATACTAAACATTAAATGAGCATAAATATAAAAATATATTTTTGCAAGTACACTTATTAGCACACAAATAACACACATCAGATTAAACACTCATGTTGTTTGCAACTCCATTAACAATTCCTCATTATGCTCCAACACAGTCCTCCAAATTTACCAATTTATTAATGAGATCAATTTCCAGTCTGCCCAAAATGTAAATGAAAATCAATAAACAAGATGCAGAGCAGTAATCATGCAAAGCATTAAGCAAATTGAACGATACAAAAGCACAACACAGCAAAAATGAGCGAAGAGAGAGAAGGCAAACAAGGGCTTTTCACTTCACACGTCTCTTGCTAATTTTAATAATACCTACAGGCACATCACCGGGATTCAGCTTTACATGGGAGACAAAACATATGCTTGACATTAGAGCATTTTCCATCTCTAAGACTTATGGGATTAAAGAGATAGTTCACCCATAAATGAAAATTCTGATGTTGTTTACTCAACCTTATGACATTCCAAACCTGTACAACTATTTCTTTTCCTGAAATATAAAAGAAGATATTTTACAAAATGTCCACGCTGCTACTTTTGGAATAATTATGTTTTTGTTTTTTTTTTCCTGTGATTGAATTTTCAGCAGCTGTTACTTCATGCCACATGATCCTTCAGAAAGCATTCATTTGGTGTTCAAGAAAAATATATCATTTTTATCAAAGTTGTAAACTTGGCTGAAGTTGAAAGCAGTTTATGCTGCTTTTGTGATACACTGCCATTAAAAAGTAAAATAAATAAATAAATAATAACAACAATATTAATAATAATAACAATAATAATAATAATAATAATTATTATTATTATTATTATTATTATTATTATTATTATTATTATTATTATTATTATTATTATTATTATTATTATTATTATTATTATTATTATTATTATTATTATTATTATTATTATTATTATTATTATTATTATTATTATTATTATTATTATTAATGATAATAATAACAATAATAATAATAATAATATAATATTTTTTATTCAGCAAGTACACATTAAATTAATCATAATTACAGTAAATAATAATATATTTTAAAATGTATAACATTACAAAATATGTATATTTCAAATGCTTCCTATTTATCAAAGTAGTTTTCAATAAATAAATAAATACTTTTTCAACTTTGTAAATAATAAGAATCATTCCAGCACCAATAATAATTAATAAAAAATAATCACCAAATCAGCATATTGGAATGATTTGTGAAGGATCATGTGACACTGAAGACAGGAATAATGATGCTGAAAATGTAGCTTTACCACCACAGGAATAAATTATATTTTAAAACATTAAAAAATAAAATAGTTCTATTAAATCATAATAATATTTCACAATATTACTGTTTTTACTGTATTTTTTATCAAATAAATACAGCCTTGGTCAGCATAAGAGACTTCTTCCAAATAAATACATAGATAGATAATAATAAAAATAAAAATAAATAAATAAATAAATCCACACTTTTGACCAGTAATGCACAAAAAATACTAGTACAGCCTAGAGAGAAGTAGCATGGAAACGAGCAGCATGAACATTTTTCTAAATATCTTCTTTGGTGTTCCACTTATTTAGAACTACCTGAGGGTGATTAAATTATAGATTTTTCATTTTTGTCTGCACTGTCCCTTTAAAGTAGGAGATGTTAGTCAGAGTTCACTGTGTACTAAGTACTTTGTCTTTGCCATCTATAAAGCAGTGATAATTGCAAAGAGAGAACTCTCAGGAGAACATTAGCGCAGCATAAGCGCCTCCCCAATAAGTCTCTAAGTGCAAGCCTCCGAGACCATATCTCTGATGCTGTTTTCAATTTTAATTTGCTTTTCTAAATGCTCCATAGAGCAGGAGCTTTGGTTAGCTTCAGAGGAACATTTCTATACACACACAGACACACACACATCCCTCAGGACGTGAGAAAATGATTGTCGTCTGAGCACGAGCACAGAAAGAGAGGCTCCTCACCTCCTCGATGTCGTTATCCAGGGCGATAATGGCGAGGGGGGTGGAGAGATTGGCACTGCTCGAGATAGTTGTGCCCAGCAGAGCAGACTCCGAGATGAATCCATGATAAGTGGCCACCTGGAAATACGGCGCCTGATTGTTCTCATCAAGCACCTCAATGTGGAGATTAGCGAATGCCGGGAGAGGGTGTCCGTTATCCTGCTCTGCCTAGAGAAAAGAATGCCATGAGTTGAGAGATTCTGACTCTAAGATGGGATATTGGTGTGAAACACAGCTTTTTTTGGATTACGGCATGCTGCACATATAAGAAGGGCAATGCGATAAGCCTCTATGGGCATACGAGGGCTTAACACTATCTACAGACTTGCCCCTCTAAATTAAATAAAGACCATGGCTGATTAATTCAGGTCATTCCCAAACTTAATTCTCTCAGAGTCTGGCATGCACCCAAGTGCTCCGAGCGCCTGAATATTTAGTGGAGTAACTATTGCTCAAATTCCTACCTCACCAGCGGCATTCACTTACAAGACGTTCACCTATATGAAACTAAAATTAAAAAAAATGAATGTCTGAAAATTCTGAACAGAGGTCTTTCGATTAAAATGGCATGGATTTTCAAAACTCTATGGTTTAATGGCTCCATGCAGATCTAAAAGAATTTGTGTACTGTTAAAATTCCACCCTTTTTAAAGCTGACTAAACACCGTACTATAAGCTTTCAGCCAAAATGTATTCTAGTGTGGCACAACACTGATTAGTGTAGTCTGATTACAACACAAATGACTAATAAGTCAGCTCTTTTTAATGAATTAAAGACATACAGATTTATAAACTGTGAAAGTTAAATCAGTTTAGTTACCCTTACCAAAAAGTAGTATACTTCAAGTTATACTAATAGCACACTTGAATAAACTTCTTTTTCATAAGGGTACTGACTCATTGTTCATTTTACATGTATTCCACACTTTCTGAAGTTGACTAAATAACACACTAAAATACTCTAGACAATGTTTCCTGCAATATTCATTAAACAGTGGCACAACATCGCTATTGAATCTACTGCACAAAACAGAGAGTGTATCAGTGTAGTCTGACTACAACACAAATTAATCAAATGTTAGTTCTAATATATAGTTAGGAATAATTATTAGATTGCATTTATGCCACCTATTAAAACAAATGCAACAGGTCAATACAAAGTCAGTGTAAACAATATTATTGATTTGTTTTGTTTTAAAATGATTTATTATTGAAAGCATTATCATTTTGCCATGAAATTACATTTCCCCCTAATAAAAAGTACTAAAAATAGTGATTAATGCAACTAAGGAATCAGAATTGCTCAAAGGATTCTGAACCAGAATTGTTAAATTATTTGCTATTACTATTTCTAGACAGACTCTTAGGTTATTGGAGACATTTAATACCACAACTGAACTGGAAAACTCTCTCCTCTAGTTGCATCGTGTTTATAATCATGTTTTGCAAACTATTCTAACTCAAACTTTTAGGGAAAATGTCTTTGATATAAAGACGGAGAGAGCTGTCGGAAACTTAATGCTGGTGACGTTGAAGTCATGTGACCGTGGTGTAATTTGTTGATATCCTACATTTAGCTTTTGACTTCTGACGATTATATTTACCGTAGGCTACAAAATTCATAAAAACTGTGTTCATTTGTGAACTTTTTTGGTCACAGAGCTTATTTTCTGCAGTAACTGGTGGAGAAATCCATCTGTAATGATGTGCATAACTAATACTTTATCAGTTTTGGTGCAGTTGACAAATATATAAATAGTAAAAGACTATAGAAAAGTTCATAAGCTGTAGGCTGCCTACTCAAGTATAAGTGCAGATGAATTCAGTCCTGCTGTAATATGTGAGTGACTATATCATCACTCTCACATTAGCAACCGAGAAAAATCAGCTTTAGCCATCTGAGTGACAGCACATATTTCTATACAGCTGCAATTTAGGCTGAAGGGCAAGTTGAGAGTAGCATTCAGAGGTAGAGAAGACAGACTGAGAGTCAACAAGACTTGACAGAACTGTAAATATGAATGAATAGACAGCATCCAGTGTGATAAACACGTAACTCATCAGAATATGAAATTCATTGCATCAACTAGATTACCTCTCATCCTTAAATTGAAACCTTGCAGGCATTTCTGTGGAATTCATGAAAATAAGAAATGATGTATAATATTTTGGTGGTGTGATGTATACTTGGCTCACTGCGAGGCATTATTAAAGAGATAATTAAAGCTACAGAAAGAGATTATAATTCTGTCAATAAAGCTAGTCTAGTGAATGCCCAGGTTCCACCCACATTATCTTAATTATTATTATGTTGTTGCACTCAGAACAATGCACCATGATATGTGAGCAGAAGACATCCAAAAATCATACACATATACAGTACATAATATAGATATCATATTGTACTATAAAATAATAATAATAATAATAATAATAATAATCTAATTAAAATAAAAAATATAAATAAATATAAATAAAAATGTATAAATAAAAATAAATTATTAGTATTAATATTCACTTTTTTATTGTCCCATCATAAGAAATCCAAATACAATTTTTTAATTGTGATTATTTTTATATACCCATGCTTACAACACACACACACACACACACAGTATAATATCATAATAATACTACTATACTACTACTATACCTGCCAGTGTTACAGTGTGAAGTATATTATTATTATTATTATTATTATTATTAAATAAATAAATACATACATACATACATATATACAGTACATACATATATACATATTTGTGTTGCTACATATCAGCTTTACATATAGAGAATGGTCTACATATTATTTATGGTGTGTGGTTTCATTGCTAATGGAATAATTGTGCAACTTAATGTTGTGCTTGTTTTTTACATAATGGAAAAGGTCTAACAGCCAAATATACTCTAGAACTGTCAGTGTGAACGACCGAGACCAACAGGCCAATAGAGTTATTCTGGCTTGAGCAGTCACAGGAAACATGTCTCCCCTGCATATTCTACTCATTTCAAACAAACTCTGCTACGCGCAGACACTTTAAATAGGGATAGAAAAGAGAGAGTGTCAGAAATAGCTAAATAAAGAACAAAACCTGAATTCTAAAAAAAAATTACTTCCCCCAGAAATACAAATCCTGTCACCATTTACTCACCCTTATTCTGTTTCAAACCTGTAAGACTTTCTTTTCACAAAGGAGTTTAACAATGTTCACGCTTCTCTTTTCCATACACTGAAAGCAGGCAGTGGCCATGGGCTGAATGCTCCAAAAAAAGACATGAAAGCACCGAATCTGCATGAAAGTATCATGAAAATGTTGACTACACTCTTCTGAAGTCATACAGTAATTCTGTGCGATGAATAGACCAATAGGTAATGCAAGTCTGAAAATTTTGCAGTTTGTTGCAGCTCTCAAATTTAATTAATGCTCTTTTTGTTTTCCACAGCAGAAAATCATATGGGCTTGGAACAATGTGAGAGTGAGTAAATATTCTCAAGATTATGCCTGTAGTCTATTAGAACTGAATCGATTCACACTCATGAAGCCATAGCAGTATCTCTGTATGCAGCTAGTCTTGTTCTCTTTGATTCTGAGAAGAGCTACGGGCTTCAACAGCCAGTCCATGCCCACCTCACGCTTCCCACTGTGAAAAGGCCAACGGCATGAACAGTGTTCTTTATGGATCATCACCCCGTACCTGCACAGACTAACATTCTAGACCCTGATGTTCAGTTTCTACACTCATGAACATGCTTGGCTCAATTCCATAATTTCCCCTCTGAGATCTGAGTCATTGCTAGTTATGTGGTACATTTTCATAACCCTGTCATATATGTCTTAAAATACTGGAAAGAAAATTAAAATAATTCCATAATTCACAATGATGGAAATCATATCAGATATTGTTATCATATTACAATTAAGCTTAAGCATATTGCCATTCTGGCCATGTCCAGGGTGCTCACACATTTATTTTTACTAATACATAGCAAATGTTTACTTATTTTTAAATGTATACTTATTTTTACTTTACTAATAAATATTTTACTAATAAATGTTCAGACAGAAATTTCATAGCTATCCATGATAACGGGATACATTTATTTGTAAGTAACTTTATAAACATAAACCATAGGGTTTTCCCCAATCTTTTAGAGAATAATTGAGAAAAATATGTAAAAATGTCTATAATCTTTCCATGACTGATATTGATGTTTGTTATGTATGTATGTATGTATGTATGTATACCATATATATCCATAATAATAATAATGATAATAATGATAATAATAATAATAATAATTTATTTATTATTTATTTGTTTGTTTCTTTGTTTGTTTATTGTGCTGGTTGCACAATGCAATATGTATTATGCAATATTACACTTCAGTTTTCAGGAATGCCATCCTTTTTAATTAGTTTTTCTTCATTATATTATCAGGACAAATTATATAAGAAATATATGTTTGATATCTATCTTTCCCCCCCATGTTAAGCCCCCCAAAATATCAAATTTAGAAATTAATATCATACTCAGAATAAGTGTAATCAACTCATTATAATGATATGTATGTCATTTATTTTGCAAAATAAATAAATAAATAAATTTATTTTGTAGATGGACAAAAAGTATTAGTGACCCATATGTAATTTTTCCAGTTAGAATAAACACACTTAATAAGAGATAAAAGTATTTAGACACATAAGACACAAAGCATTTGGACAATGCACACTTGGACTAGTAAACAAGTAAAAGAAAAAAAGAAGAAGAAGATGATGCAATGCAATACAATACAATGATACAAGATAAACAATAATGCCACTTTATTTCTCTGCTGTGGCACAGTAGCAATAAAGGCATTTTGGTGCTGTCATGTTACGTCATCGCAACATGTGCACTTGTAAATTTAGAGGAAAGTAGATGGTGAGGGGAGATCCACGCCACATAAATTTACCAGGGAACAAAGTGACAACACAATGATCACATGTGAGAAGCTGCATCAACATTCCTGTCACTTGCTGCAAATGAGCTGCAGATGTTTGGCCGCAGAATTCAAGGCCACATTTCCCCTCTCTCGTTTATGAGCTCCAGAGACCCATCTTCCACATTTCCTGTGCCTGAGGGATAAGTAAATCTCCCCCTGCATCTCTCTCTGTCTCAGCCATAAT